GATACTCAAGTCCAAGCAATAGAGAGTTTGAAATCGTATAAAATTTAGACACTTTTCAACAAAACTTTCAGAATCAGTGTTGCCTTCTTAGTAAAACTGATAGTTTACATTCGACATAGGCCAACTAGAGAGTTTGGTTGAATGTTAAAATTTAGAATCCAACGAAACTTTCAGAATCAAGCGGTGCCCTCTTATGTTAAACTGTATAGCTGTAGATACTCTAATGGTCCAGAATAAGAGTTTGAACATAGATTAAAATTAGACATTGTCCAAACGCAAACTTCGAATGTGCCTCTTTAGTTAATTTATAGCTTATACTAATCATAGGCATTAAGAGAGTTGTTGAAATCGTATAAATTTAGACATTTCAACAAACTTTCAGAATTAGTGTGCCCTCTTAGTTAAACTATAGCTTGATACTCAATAGTGGCCAGACTAGAGAGTTTGAAATCGTATAAAATTTTAGACATTTCAACAAAAGACTCTTAGAATTCAGTGTGCCTCTATATGATTATACAATTTGTTAACTATAGCTTGATACTCAACAGGACAATTAGAGAAGTTGTGAAATCGGTTAAAAATTTAGGAACTATATTTCTCATATCAATTTCATCAGAATTTACTGCCCCTCGTGTAGTTATAACTGGGATATATTTGAATAGCTCATAGGTGGACCAACTAGAGGTTGATTGAAATCGTATAAAATTTAGAACATTTATCACAACTTTGACAGTAGGTGACCTCTTAGTAATACTTAAAGCTTGATACTGGAATGTAACATCTAAGAGAGTTGTTCAGAAACGATATAAATGTTAGACATTATACCAACCAACTTTCAGGAATTCAGTAGTGCGCCCTCTGAGTTCAGACTGATATAGCTTGATACTTCAAAGCGGGACAATTAGATAGAGTTGTTGGAATATGTATAAAATTTGATACAATTTTCAACAAAATTCAGATTTCCAGTGGTCCCTCTTAGTTTAAACTTATATAGGTTTATACTTCAATAGGTGCACAACTAGAAGAGCTTGTTGAAACGTATAAAATTTAGACATTTCAACAACTTCAGAATTCCCAGTTTGTCCCTCTAGTATACTATTACAGTTTGATACTCAGACCCAGTAGGCCGAACTAGAGACTTGTTGAAATCTTATAAAATTTAGACATTTCTCAACCAAACCTTTCATACCAGAGTTGGCCCTCTAATGTATATACTTATGGCTTGATACTTACAGGATATAGCCCAATAGAGAGTTGCTTGAGATCACGTTATTAAAATTAGACATTTCAAACAAACTTTCAGAATTCAGTTGCCCCCTCTTAAGTTAATACGTCTATGCTATATTTACTCTCAATTGGTGCAATCTAAGGGAGAGGTTGTTGAAATCGTTATAAAATGTAAGGATATTCCAACAAAACTTTTCAGGATTCAGTGTCCCCTCTTAGTTAACACTTATAGCCTTCGATACTTCAAAGAGTGCGCAACTAAAGAGTGTTAAATCGTAATTTAACATTTTCAAACAAACTTGTCAGAATTCAGTGTCTGTGCCCCTCTTAGTGAAACTCTATAGCTTGATACTCATGGTGACCAACTAGTGAGTTGTTTGAAATCGTATAATTTAGACATTTTCAACAAACTTTCGAGGTAATAAGTCGCTGACTCCCTCTTAGTTTAAATACTTCTATAAGTTGATACTCAAAGTGACAAATAAGAGAGTTGTTGAAATGCGTATAAAATTTAGACATTTCTAACAAAATTTTTCAGAATCTCAGTGGCCCTCTTAGTTAAACTTATAGCTTGATACTCAATAGTGAGCAAGCTAGAGAGTTGTAAACTCGCATATAAATTGATCTTTCTCAAAAACTTTCAGAACTCAGGTGTGACCTTTCTTAGCTTTTAAACCTATAGCTTGATACTCAATAGTCGACAGACTGAGAGTGTTGAAACGTATAAAATTAGGACTTTCAACAAAACATTTACAGATCATGTGCCCTCTTCGTTAAAACTTCTATAGCTTGATACTCAATCAGTCACAACTTAGAGAGGTAGTTTTTAATGTATAAAATTTAGACATTGTCACAAAACTTTCAATACAGTGATGTGCCGCTATCTCTAGTTCGCCAACTTATAGCTATTAAATAGGTGGCCAGAATAGAGAGTTGTTGAAACGTAATAAAATGCGTGTAACATTGGTAACAAACTTTCAGATTCAGTTTCCCCCTGGGTTGACTTAGTAACTTGATAGCTTTAAAAAGTAGCAATCGTAGACAATAGAGGTTGTTGAAATATTATAAAATTAGACATTTTCCATACAAACTTCAGGACTACGGCTGTGTCCCTCTTAGTTAAGACTGGTAATAGTCTTGAGGACTCAATATATGCGCACTTAGAGTACCGTTGTTGAAATGTAAAAATTTTGAACATTTCAACAAACTTTCAGAGTTTAGTGATGCCTCTCTTTGTTATAAATTAAGCTTGATACTAAATGATGGACCAATAGAGATTTTTGAAAACCGTATAATATTTAGACATTTCCAACAAATTTCAGAATTACAGATGGTCGTCCCCTCTTTCAGTTAAACCTTATAGCTGATACTCAATAGTGGCCAATAGAGAAGTTGTTGAAATCGTATAACAATTTACATGTTCAACAAACTTCAGAAATTCAGTGTCGACCTTCTAGTTAAAACTTACTAGCTTTAGTACTCTAAGATAGGGGGCTCATACCTAGTGAAAGGTTGTTGACAAGTTCGTCTTAATAAATTTGACATTTCCAACAACTTTCAGAATTTCAGTGTTGCCTCCTCTTAGTTAAACTATAGCTAGTTGTATACTCGACACATAAGGATAGCCAAATTAGAGAGTTTTGAATATCGATCTAAAAATTTAGACCATGTTTCAACAAACTTTCAGAACAGTGTGCCCCTCTTAGTTAAACTTCAGTCTGTGACTTACTCAAATCGTGGAACACTTAGAGAGTTTTTTGAAGATCGTATAAAATTTCAGAACATTTTCAGACAAATCTTTCAGAATAGTTGTGCCCCTACTTTAGTTAATAACATTATAGCTTGATACGCTAAGGTGCTCAAATAGAAGTTGTTGAAATGTATACAAATTAGACATGTTTTACACAAAACTTACAGTTTAGTGTGCCTCCTCGTTAGTTAAACTATAGCCATTGACTCATAGTGGCCAACTAGAGAGTTGTTAAAGTCTATAAAATTATTAGGACATTTTCCAACAAACTTTCGAGACTTCAGTTGTGTCCACCTCTTAGCGTTAAACTATTAGACTGATACCTAATAGGTGGTAACTAGAATGTTTGTTGTACATCGATATAAAATTTAGAAAATTCTCAAACAAAACTTTCTCAGAATTCAGCGTGTGCCCCTCTTAGTTAACTTTATGCTGATACTCAATAGTGCCAACTAGAGAGTTGTTGAAATCGTATAAATGTAGACATCTCGCAACAAACTTCAGAATTCAGGGGGCCCCTCTCTTAGTAAACTTATAGCTTTTGCATACTCAATCGTTAACAATTAGAGAGTTGTTAACTTATTATAGACATTTTCAACAAACTTTCGAATTCAGTTGTGCCCCTCCTTAGTTAAACTTAAAGCTTGATACTCTCGAGACAATCTAGGAGTTTTTGAAACCGTATACAATTTAGACCATTCCACAATTTCAGCAACCTTTATGCTGTGCCCTCTAGTTAAAACTTATAAGCTGATACACTCAGATGGTGGCCAAATAGAGCAGTTGTTGAAATTCGTATAATTTAGACACTTGAAACAAACTTCCAGAGATTCAGTTGCCCACTCTTAGTTAAACTTATAGCTGGATACTCAATAGTGGCAACTAAGAGTTGTTGAAGATCGTATAAATTTAGACATTTCAACACAAACTTTCAGAATCAGATTGTGCCCGCTAGTTAAACTTATAGCTTGATACTCAATAGTGGCCAACTTGAAGATTGTTGATCGTATAAAGTTTGAGACATCCACACTCTCAGAAGTTCAGTGTCCCCTCTTAGTTAAACTTATAGCTTGATTACTGCATTACGTGACTAATTAGAGGTTGCGTTGATAAAGGACTACAAATTCAATGACACAAAAAGCATAAGCACTTACTGGAGTTATGCCAATTTGGAGTTCAAATAGAAAAGTTTTTGCGGACTCGTTCATAAAATAGTAAACATAATTGGTTTCGATTCAACTTAAAATGAACAGCTGACGGAGTCATTTGCTCAATCGGAGTTTAAATGTAGCAATTTGATTCTCAAAAGCGTAAATATTTAATTTATGACATTATTCAACTTCTCATCACAAAAATAAGTCTTACCCTTTTAGTTTCTTCCTGTAGGTTTTTTCATATTATGATTGGATGAAATTTCTAAGAAAAAGCTCAATCAAGCTTAAAAGTGACTCATTTACCAAGAAGACTCCATTTCTTACCAAGCCTGGGATATCTAGGCTTCTTAGGTTATTATTAAAGTGATTATCAATGGCCTGACGATATAACAATTTCTAAAGCTTTTCGTGTTAGTGACCCAAATAGTTTTTCTTGCTATTTATAATCATAGACGTCCCGGTTCTTGTTTTGTTTTTGTAGATGACTCTTTTCATTAATTTTTTCCTATAATTCAGACTTAAACGCCTGAATCGTGTTTTGCTTTTAATTTTTTTTTTTGTTATTTCATTTGTGCTTATTATGTACTATGTAAATTGCTCGATTTTTTATA